TAATAAATATTTGAGTTAAGATATTTGAATTAATATGAATTATATTTGATAGTGGAAGATGCGCACAAAAGCCTTTTGTAACCAACTGATACACTTTCTACAGTATGTAAAGAAGGAAGATTTTATGTGTTGTGTTTGTTTTGAAAATTAAAAATAATAAAAAAATATTTAAAAAATTATATTCACATCACATGCATATTACCTACTAACAATAAATATTCTACTGATCAGTTTAGTTACATACGTGCCAATAAACCCCAAGTACAACTGAAGTCCAGCTCTAAAATAACAGCACAAACAAAATGTTAAACAAACATAAAAATAAAAACCAGATAAAACTACAAAAATAAAATTAAGAAGTTTATTGGAATTCATGAACTTAACTAGAGTATTTCCTGAAATAATTCACTTTTAGACATCTGTCTCAAAGCCATTAAGGAAGTGGTTGATTTGTCCTTGGTTAGGAAACTATTCCAAAGCACGGGTACTACAAATGAAAAGCAACACCTCCTAGCTTTAATTTCCTTCATAGTAGTGCAGACCGTGTGGAGGTTGTACTTTGTGAAGCTGTAATATTTGTGTGCGCTGAGGTAGTATCCAGTTGTCGCTTATTTTGAAAATGGTGTTATAAAACATGGGAAAGATAGCGCCTGATAATATACTATTGTGGGCTTCAGGGGAAGGAAGGATGGATGGAAGATGTCTCTGCGTAAGCAGAATTGATGACTGTAGCAAAGACCAAGGGACTGGTAGACAGGTTCCTTGGAACTTCTCCGGATAAGGAGAGGATGGAATATTGCCCATATGCCAGGAGACCATAGGACAGCAGTCTCCCACCAGTGTGAGTGTTGGGAGACAATGGGAATAGCCATCTTGCTTGCAATTATGGTCAGTACCTTTTAAAGAATACCACGTTTGCTAATTTTACTTTCTAATCACTTTCAGAAATTGCTTATTTACTTATTAACTTCATTTAAGCTTAGCGACCTTCAGAATGTCAAGTTTGAAAATACTAGGTGATTTCTTTTTCAATCCTAAATGAAAAAATAATTAATCATAAATGTAAGAATTTAGATAAACAACAAGTAAGATTTTGATTTTAGAAAGTTATAAATGGATTAAAGGTACAGATAAATTTGGAACTTAGAAAGATTTACTATAAGATTTTTGGAATGAATTATAAAAAACAAATGGCTTCTGTGATAAATAATTTTATGATTTTAAAAATTGGACACTATAAAGGACAAGACTCTGAGCTGAGGGAAAAAATAAAGCTCTTATTCGGTGTTAGGTAATAGTACCTACAAAATACAAAATGTAACATTGAAAATATTAAAGGAGACTTTTGAAGAATGGAGCCAGAAATTAGTGGCTATAATATCACAGTGTCAGTCATGATGTTTGACTCTATGAATAGACTGTAAAATATATTAGTGAAGAAATGATAGAAGTGGGACAAATTTATCTGACAAAATAGAGACGGTACTCAAAGTGGATTTACAAATGGCAGACTTAAAAAAATGACGTAAAAGGATGTCTCACTGAATATACAAAAAAAAAAAAAAACTGCTAATATTTTACAAATCAAAATGAAAATATAAATGAAAAACCAAGAAAGTCACCTGGATATTTTTTTTTCTTATAGCATTTATAAAAGACCTGAAAAACGTTTGTGTGATGGGAAAAATGGAATATATGGATGACATTTACACATTCCACTATGTGAATGGAAGAGATACTGCCTAGGAAACAATCAGACAAGAGAGGCAGGAACTTCATGGTCAGAAATAGAGACCTATGAAGGACCCATCTTAATGAATGATGCAGTTAAAAGTGACAGTGAAAAGTTTGTACTTTCAATCTTGGAAGCCTTACATCAGAATTAATTCATCTTGTCAGGTTTTCCCATCTGGTTTACCGAGGAGAACTGACAGATAAAGAAGAAACGAAGAGAAATCAAACCCTATGAAAATATTTGAATGAACTAAATGTTGAGATTCTTAGAAGTAAAAGGAAGAAATGTAAAGTTGTTTATTTGATGAAGGTTAAAATAGAATAGAATAGAAAATAAACTTTATTGTCACTTTAAATGTACACTAATCACCATACATTAAAATGATTTTTTTTGGATTCAGCTCTCAAAAGATAATCATTACACACACACACACACACACACACACACCATCAAAACCATAAGTCTAAAAAGGTTAGCAGTGTTTCTCAACCTTGGCAACTTGAAGATGTCTGGACTTCAACTCCCAGAATTCCCCAGCCAGCATTCGCTGGCTGGGGAATTCTGGGACTTGAAGTCCAGACATCTTCAAGTTGCTAAGGTTGAGAAACACTGGGTTAAAGTAAAATAAGATATGTTGTTACTACTGGCAGCCTTTTAGGGACTTCCTGCTGACCCCAGCACTGAAAATACTTATGAACCTCTCTATAGATATCGATTGGGTAATAAAGGAAGAAATAATTGTTTGTAAATCTGGAGGTGATGAAAAGTCTCTAAATATGTTACTTGCGATGAAATTTGGAAGCAATTTCTTTACACATTTCTTGTTATATTCTTACTATTCTCCTTTTTCTTTTTCCTTGCACTTCTTTCTTTCTTTCTTTCTTTCTTTCTTTCTTTCTTTCTTTCTTTCTTTCTTTCTTTCTTTCTGTTTAGCTAGTATAGATTTTACTATTAGAATCAAAATTCTTCATAAAAATTTATCAGGGATGTTCTACTGAAAAATACTTTCTATTTGTTTCAGGGCAGAGGTGTATTCTATTTGTGTAAATTCTGAAAGTCCTTGAGGTTCTGGACTTTTCTCTGGTCTTTTTGTCTCACCCACATTTTCTCCTTTATTAAGGCTGACTGCATTTTCTGTGGTCCTTTTAGGCGTGTACACATTTCTCAGAGTACCATGAACTGCTTAAAAGGAGAATTTGAGGTGGAACCAGGAGATGGTGGTTCACGGTGTGAATATCTAAAGGAAAAGGGGATTACCACCTACCTCATAATAACCCCGAAGCAGGCACTCAAGAATGGGATCAATGGGGTGGTGAGTATTCCTTTCACTAGATCCTTTGAAAAGAATGGAATTATATATCAGCTGTGTTAGGATCAGAGGAAAGAGAAGAACGTGTTCTCATCTATCTTTTTTCTTTTAGCTTCATCATGATACCTAGGTCAGATTGATGCTTGATTTTAATTCAGATTGATTACCTTGATACTGCCACTGCTATTATCTATTGTAAGCACTTGAATGTTTTTCTTTCTAACACAAAAGTTATTTTGACTGGGACTTCTCTGCATTTAGAGAAGAAAATTGGTGACAAGAGGTCTAATACCTTTTGGATACTTACAGTCGTTTAGATAACCTAGTCCTATACACATTGTTCTGTTTCTTTTTCTGTTTCATGTCACAGAAGTTATCCGTCTCATCCTCCCATGGGAACTCACCTCAATTGATCAACACCAAAGAATGCAATGGGAGCATTAATACAACCTGCACAACCCCAGATGAGGCAGAAGAATCGGACACTAGGGTAAAGGGGCAGAATGGATAGAGAAGGATAAATAAACGCTTCATTGACATGGGTTCCAAGAAAAACTGCTTATATGTAAAATGCAAAAATTACGTCCCAAAGGTCCTTTTCCAAGAGACAACTGGTTTTTCTGGTTTTTCTTAGAAAAGGTTTCACTTCTCATCCAAGAAACGTCTTCAGTTCTGAAGATGAGAAGCAAAACATCTTCAAAGAAAAACCAGAAAGTTCAGTTGCCTCTTGAAAAAGCAGCTTTGGGACAACCATGATCTGGATGACTGAGAATCTCCATAGACATTTGCTGGTTTACTGCAATGTATTCTACATGGGACTATCCCTAAAGACACTTCCCAACATATAATTGGTACAAAACATAACTGCCGTATTAAGCTACATGAAGTAATGATTATTTCTGTATATTTGCACTTGCATAGATTGGTGTGTGTGTGTGTGTGTGTGTGTGTGTGTGTGTGTGTGTGTGTGTAGAAAAGTAATCATTACTAAAATCCTCCTAGGGCTGTGTACGTTTTAAAATGCTTTTCAAAAATAAAATCTTTAAAAATGAAAATTGAATCAATAACCTGTTGACCTTAACCAGGTAATAAAAACTAAGAGGAAGCTTATGGGCAGTAAATCCAGCATTAAAAAAAAAAACACCTTTACATGGATGCAGGTTGTGAGGGAGGGAGGATAAACAAAAGACATTGAATATCAGGTTAATTCTGTAGCACATTTCCAAACATGAGAGAGTTCTGTGTCAAGAAGCCCTCTAATAAGTACTTGCCTGTCTTTAGGCCCCTGATGAGGATTGGTATAAAGTTCAGTCAAGCTTGTTGACTTGTGCCATCTGTTACACTTCTCCTAGGCCCTAGGGAATATTAAGAAACTATTTGCATGCAGAGAGTGTGCTCTACAGCTGAGTTATATCAATGGTGGTTTGCCTTAAACACCATGGAATTACTTCTGAGTTTTTAAAATAAGTGTAATACAGTGTAAAATTGTTAAGTACTCAAGTGTATACTTGTTAAGTCAGGAATGTCGAACCCAAGGCCCGAGGGCTGGATCCAGTCCCCGGGGTGCTTAGATCTGGCCCACAGAGCCACCCTGGAAACAGCAAAGGACCGGCCCACAGTACCTCTGTCGGCAAAAATAGAGAGAGTTGGCAGAGAGTTGCAGGAAGCCATTGCAGCCAAAAAATGAGCTCGGGAGCCCATTTTCGCTGGCAGACTGCTTGGGCCACCACATGCACCCATGAGTGAGGTTGAGTTGGTCATGCCCACATTGGCCATACCCCCCCCGCCCCCCTCAGGTCAAACACAACCCTGATGCGGCCCTCAATGAAATCAAGTTTGATACCCCTGTGCTAAGTGATCAAGCAAGTGTACATTAAGCACTAAGTTCATTTAATATACACTTAAAGCCTTAATATAGGTTGCATGCTATTATACCCTGCTATTTCAGATATTACACACTTGATCCTTTAACCTACTTGGTTTGAACTTGTCCTAGTTTTGCTGCATTTTGGGTAATATTAACAGGATGTTAAGATGACTCTGGGTCAACTATTGTATGTTAAGGATATATTTGATTTTCTTCAGTATATTCCCAGGATTGGAACCTATCAACAATAGAATTGCAGATTTGAGGACAAAGATTAGCTAAAGGGGTTATTATATGTAATTGGAAGTAGAAATCTATGCTAGATTTGCTGCAATATTGCTGATATGCATTGTTTGCTAAAATTTTAATTAGTCTTTGGGAAAAGAAGGTGACTCTGATATTTATGATAAAAGTTTTAAAAATATTTTGCTTATGATATGATTTTTAGTCCCTTTCCCTTTTCTTTGTTGCTGTATGTTTTGATTTTGTAGTGGAGTTGATATCTATGGAGTTTCTCAGTCATCCCGCTCGTGATTGTCCCAAAAATGCTGTTGTAAAGGCCTTTTGAACAGCATCTTTGAATGGAGTTGATATTTAATGTTTTCCATCTTTTCTATTTATTTGTTTGTATAATACATTAAAAAAACTTGAGTGGCACCTTTTCCAAAATCAGAAAATATTGCAAAGATGTTTTCTTTTCACATTACACAGAAAAAAGTGTGTGTGGTGTATATGTATAAAATTACAACATGGTTTCATGACAAAAGTGACACACAAGGGGGAATATGTCAAATTAAGCATTTAGAAGTATATGCTCCTGTTAACAGCTGCAATAAAAATAATAGCAAGACGGGTAAAAATAGCAATGAAGGTAAGTGAGTAGCAGCTAAGTGTCCAAATCTAAGCAGAAAGTTGAGAAATGCAAACAATATTTTCAACTGTTAATTTCAACTGACTACTTCAACAGAAGACGTTATACAATTGTTTTTTGTAGCTCTTTTGCCTATATCCTTCATGTGTCATCCATGTGTGGCAACATGACTACTATTCTCTTCCTTGTTTTTAAAGAGTTACTTTAATTTAAAAATTAAATGGAAAATTGTATGTTTAAATTGCATGGTAAATAACTAGGGATTTTTTCTAAAACTGCCCACGTGGTCAAAAACAGAGACGAAGTTAGGCTGGGAAGGAAGAGGTTCTCTTTGAGGGATGGGTGGAATGAGAATGGGGAAATAGACGAGAAAGCAGAGAACAAGCCCCTCAGTCTACTTGGTATAAAGAAGCGCTCAGAGTTGCCTTGAACTGCAAGATGGGCGACAGATAAACTCAACATAAAAATAAATAAAATTATGCTTTTTAAAAAACAAAATCTTGTTTAATTAAATTTCAGCAGAAAGTAAAATGCAACTTTTTATTTGCTTTCTTTTCTATCCAGGTAGTGAATCCTTCCTTTCCCAACCCTCGAAGGCGTCTTCGCTTACGGGACTTAGCAGAGAGAGTGGTGGATGCTTCAGAAAATGAGCAGGAACTCAATAAATTGCTTAATGAGGCCTTGCTGGAGAGAGAATCTGTCCAGGCGTATGTCTCCTCTTTTCCTTCCATCTTAGAACTAATTGTGTGCTTTTTGCTTCATTCCAATGTTTCTCTCTTCCTCTTATCAGTTTGAATATCACACTTACTATCAACAATGTCCACCGCTGCTGTGGTTTCAGACTTTCACCATGATTCAGGTCCTTGTCCTGCTGTGGTTGCTATTTTGTATTGTTGGAAAAAGTATTCTGGAGACTCAATTTTAGTTGTTTTTATTATTGTATTTACTTTCTACTTTTCCTCTGTCTTACAATTCAAGCTGCAAATTCTCTTTGTTATGATTGTGTATTTATTCCGTTGTATCTTTATTCAGAAAATCACTGGGCTGACTCAGAAAATATTTCCATCGCCTGGTCTGTCTCTGCAGTATAAACTTTTGTTTTATTTTGTTTTCAAAAAGCTTCACACAGCATTTAAAGAATATGTCATACTTTTAGTCCTCGTACGCTTGTATAAAACTGAAGAACATACCATTCTCAGCAGTGAGCTGACTTTTTAATCATGATTTAAGATGATAAAGGTTTTTTTTTTCAAAAATAAAATGAGGACTTAAATAGCATCGAGGGAGATTTTAAAGAATTTCTTAGGGGGCATACCAAGTGCAGCCTCATATGTAACAGAACAGCTGCTTTGTTCCTGAGGTATCAAAGAGATAATGCCAGAATTGAAATAGATGGGCCATTCTCATCTGGAATGAGGCAGTTTTCTATTTGCTGAGATGAGAGTTCTAAAAGATCCATGCAGGATCAGAACAAAGGCCCTTCTAGTCCAGCATTCTCCTACGGCTAAATAAGATGCCCTTGGAAGTCCACAAGCAGAATACTTCCCTCAAATGGTAGGCAGTTTAAGACATAACAATTTTTCTTGAAGTCTCCGTGAAACTGGACTGAGACCGTATCATCTTACCACAATTCTAAAAATCCCACACATTCTAGATGAGGACCCTAAATATCTGACATGTTCTAAATATTTGACAGGCTAAAAGGCAAGTCTACCTATCGCCTAACCATGCGTTTCATTGATCCTGAGATGGAGACACGTTACTCTGTGGAAAAAGAGAAGCAGAGTGGGGCTGCCTTCAGCTGTTCATGTGTGGTCCTCTTCTTTACTGCTGTGGTGGAGATCTTCATTGATCCACGGTTAGTACAGCTAGATCTATGATGCTGCGCCCTTTTCAAACGGGGTTGCTAGAAAACAGACAATCCTTGACTTACAATCACAATTGGGATTGGAAAATTCATTATTAAATAAGGCATCATGTGACTACACCCAATTTTACAATCCTTTTTACTGTGAATAGAAAAAAAGGTTCCACCACAAATGCGCGAACAACAAAAGCGCGCCTGACTAAACCGCGCCGACAAAACTGCGCCGACAAAACCGCGCGACGAATGAGCGATGAATTAGCCCTAAAGCGCGCCGACAAAAGCGCTCCGACAGAAGCGCGCTGTAACATAATCCTAAACCTAACCCTAAACTAACCCTAAACCTAACCCTAGCCCTAGCCCTAACCCTAACCCTAACCCTAAACCTAACCTTAACTTAAATCGCGCTTCTGTCGGCGCGCTGTTGTCGGCGCGCTTTTGACATCCCACAATTGATTTGACTTATTGATGGTGGATCACATAATCCTAGGATGCTGCATCCATTGTAAATGTGAGCCAAGTGCCCAGATCATGATGATATGACTGTGAGGAACATTCTTTTTAGCACTGTTGTCAACTTCAAACAGTTGCTAAATGAATGATTGTAAGTCGAGGACTATCTGTAGTGCTAAGGATGAAATTAAACATTTCATTATCAGACCGGATAGGTAATGTGATTAACATGTTGATACAGTGCCAGAGACCTTACAGTGATAAGATCTAAATGGGGAGAAATAGGTTCTGAATGAAAACATCCAAGCCAGAGTCAATTTGGGTTTATAGCCGATTTATTCCAGAAATATTCAATCCCTGACTCTGAATGGAGTTGTACTTCCCAGCTCAGATGTCTGCAATTTAGGAAATTCTGAGACTGACTGCTTCTGCTAGAAGAGCAGGTAGTAACTGGGACTAGGGGGATTTTTGTTCATTTTACATACTCATTACAAGCAATGTTGGCTCAAAAAGCCCTGGTCAGTCACGTCCCACTGGGATTACTATAAAATTCTAGCTAGTACAGAATGCACCTGTCACCCCTCTAGGCTAAGCCAGATGAAGAAACCAACATCATACAGGCATAAAACTACTTTTATTAGAACAGTTAATAGACTCTTGCAAGTCTGAAGGTGCTTCCCTTCTCCATCCCTTCATGTGAATTAGGGGACATTTTATTAAGTTTGTTCTTTGAAATGGGCTTAAACCACATTTGTCTGGTCATTGGCTTGTGAATGGATATTCTCACTGTTCTTCAAGGCCACTCCCTATTTCCTCTACAGTACCAGCCAAAGCAATGATCTCTCTGCTTTGAGAGCTCTGAGTTGCTCAATAGCTTCCAGGTGCAAATCAAGATGTTTGTAGTTACCTTTAAGGTTATAGTTCCAGACCTAGTTAACTGAAGAACTGCCTTTTCTTGTATCTGCTCCTTAAACTAGATCAAATAGGCTGAACTTCCTCCAGATCCTATGAGATTGTTACTTGGAAATTGGCATTTTTAGTACTTGTCCCTACTCTTTTGAAACCCTGCTGGCAAAAATTTGGTCAGCTTCATGCCTCTTGGGTTTTAGGACAATTGTGAAGATCTACTTGTTTAGCCTTGCCTAGAAAGAGGGTGTGTGCACACATGAATGTGGTGATTGCAGACATATAACAGTCACATGCATTTTTTTTCATTTTTATATTGTTGATATTTTTATACATATTTGGGGTGGGGGGGGGAATGACTATTTTTTTATGTCAGTCTTACCTACCCAGAACTTTTAGGAATAGGTGGTAAGCAAGAATGAAACAATTATATAAAATGCCAAAAAATATGTGTCAAAATATTCTTTTAGAACAGGGAATTTGACTGCCTCTGCAATCAGAATAAAATACTGATCTTTGATCTTCTTTATATCTGGTGTTTTGTTTTGTTTTTAATTTCCTATTCTGCTGCAGGCTGGTAGCAAATTATGTGACATTTGTTGTTGGTGAAATCCTTCTGCTGATCTTGACTCTGTGTTCACTTGCTGCCATCTTTCCCAGGGTAAGATCTCCTTCAAAACACACAATTGTTAACTATTGTAGGAATCTCATCCTTTGCCATTCTTCAATGCCAAATCAAGGTTTTTTTTCACCATAATACCAGAAATATTTGTGTTTCTATGAAAATATTTTTTATTTCAAGTTTCACCGTCCTTCTATGTAGGACTTGTATATTTGTTTATTGTGTGTATGGAGGTGCATATGTATTTATGTATTTTCAACTCTATGACTTTCCATCTTGAGTGTGGATGGTGCCATTGTGAAGTCAGTTTGAGTGGGCACAGCCACATTAGCTGGGCAGCTTTTGTGCTTGTTTTAATTGAGGGGACTTAAGAGACAGAAATGAAATTTTCTTTTGCAGCAGCTTAAGGCATCTATTTTGTCCCTTAAGCCCCCCCTTCTGAAAAAAAGCCTGCTTCTTAATTTTTTTAAGTTGTAATGGTTCAGGGGTGGATTACTTCGTGTGCGCACCCACCATGTTGCTTGCGCATGCACCGTTGCTGATAAATTGTTTTGCATGTGCGTAGAACATTATAAAATGACTAAAAAACATGCTGGTAATGGCATGGGCGACTGGGGAACCGGTTCGGGGGCATGGCGAGCCTGCCGTCCCTACTGGTTCGGCAACTCAGTTGCAATTTCCACTACCAGTTTGCCTGAACCGGTGCGAACTGGTAGCAGCCCACCTCTGCAATGGTTCATACAGATAGGATCAGTGTGTTTGATAGCCTTAATTTGGGAGGGTTGCAGTTTTCCTTCTTTCATGTTTCTCTTCTCACAATCTGGAAAACAGTATCATTGATTGTTATAACTGGCAGGAGCTCTGGTTTGGTAAAAAGGCATTGAGGCAATTTTTCTGCTAATACTCTATAGTATCTTCATAGCTATCACCGGAGTACTATGAAGTCTTTCCTTGTGACTGTTATTTTGGGCAGGATTTCGGGCAACAATGAATGAATGACTCTAGAAAATGCAATTAATTGTTAATAAGGAGATGGCTAAAGATGCTATGGACTGAGGCATATAAAATGGTACTATTACTTAACTACAGTCTCATTTCCATTCCTGTTTCCCATAGGAAGTTAACATACTCCTTCATAGTCTTATCAGTGCTGGGTGCTACATCAGTGCTAGAATAAATTTAAATAATGAAATAATGTGTTTTTATTAATACAGGTTTTCCCTAAAAAGCTTGTGTCTTTTTCCACATGGATTGACAGAACCCGTTGGGCCAGGAACACCTGGGCCATGTCTGCCATTTTCATCCTAACCATGGCTGACATTGTAGATATGGTAAGCAAAAATGAAAAAAAAAGACATTTTTTCTTTCTTGATATCATTGCACCCTGCTAGCTTTCTAGAGGTGAGAAAAAATTAAAAAATAGATTTTAATGAACAGATAATAGAAAGGACTGATCCTCCTTAGCAAGACATTTATATTTTTCTCCCTCTTCCCTCCTCCAAGTAGGAGGGGATAGTGAAGCTACCCCCCCTTTCCTAAACCATTTAGCATGACATGTGATTGACACTTCTTTTCTGGCTGAGTTGATAAGTGTATGAAGAGTTGTACAATGGAAATCATTAAGGGAAATTAGTAAAAAGCCAGCTGCAGTTGATTATTTTTAGTACCTGTTAATAATTGGCCAGACCTTGAGCTCTTCTGTGCTAAAACTGATATGAAAATACTGCTATTTTCAGGCTGGCAAACTTGGATGAGGGTGGAGGAAGAGAACGAAGGCTGTGGGTTTTTTTTTTCTTTCTGTCTCTCTGAAAAAAGTGGCACAAGGATTATTTATTGCAGTGCCCTTTCCTTCTCCTATCTATTACTGGCCATGTTTGGAATGGTGCGTTGATAATGGAGTCTTGCAAAGGAGGACTGAAGGAGGATCAGTCCGGGTTTTGTTAATCCATCAGAAAACATCCAAGGTTTAAAAATCAATTAGACAAATCTTCAGATTGCCCTGTGGTGACTCTTTTTTTTATCCTTTGATGGTTTAAAAGGCCCTTTTGGGTGATACGGTGTGGCATATTGAGCTTGCACAGACTGTTTTGATAGATCATAGAAAAAACAGAGAAAACTGGCAGCAGAAAAAGACTTAGTGATCCATCGAGTCTGCATTTGAGAACTCAAATCTTATCAATACCTTTTTAAAGTGAGGTCTGCAGAACTGGATATAATGTTCCAAATGGGGTCTGACTAAAGCCCTATACAATGGGATTAGGACATCCTTTTTCCTGCTGTGATCCTCTAGTGATGCACCCCAGAATTTTGTTTGCCTTCACTGCCTAGCTACAGTGTTTACTCATTCTACAGTCGCCTGCTGTGAGCACACCTAAATCTTTTTTCCCCCTGTTGTTCTGTCTACCACTGTACCGCTCAATACTGTATTGCATACGATGCATTCGTTATTTATTGTTACTGATCATATTATAGTGGGTATTATGAATCACAGTTCAACTTGTTGGGTATGAAGTTTCATGATTTCAGGGGGGAAAAACCCCAGCAATATATGTAGTATAAAAATAAAGAGAAAAGGATTGAAGAGAAAAGAGACTGTAATTTAAAATATTAAATACATGTGTTCTACACCAGATTTACTTGTCTGTGTACAGGGAGGCACACTGAAAGAAATTAGAGCAAACACAAAACATGTTTTCAGAGTTTTGCTGAATCACAAGTGGATAAACCAGAATAGAGTTCATTAGCCAAGCCGTGGGCTAGAAATGTAGAATGTTGTGATGTATTTTACAAACAGAAATGGGGATAATTATCCCTATAACAGGAAGTGACAGTTAGTGAAACTAATTGACATGATTAGTGCTTATGTGTATTATGTTTAGCACCTAAGGAAAGGAGTGACCAAAGATTTTCCATGGAGTGGGGTATGTAGGCATAGCATATGTTGGTTGGAAAAATCTAAGTGATCACAAGAGATTTAATGTTTTCTGTATCCATGTGGTGGTATCTAATAGTTCTCCAGATATTACACTTTTAGCTTGGAGGATTCCCCCCCCCCCACCGCTTAACTGGAAAATAAGGGTTTTTAAAACAGATAAAGACAGCCTAACCCCTTTTCTTTTGTTTCAACAGCTCAGCTGCCAGCAGTATTACACCACTGTCAATGGTACAGTTCCAGCACTGCTTCCGAGTGGTTGTGTGGAGAATCCCAAATACTACAGCTACATAGCAGTGTTGGCACTGATTGCAACTATAATGCTGGTGCAAGTCAGCCACATGGTCAAACTCACTCTGATGGTGACAATCACAGGGGCAGTGGGAGTGGTCAACATTCTGGCCTGGCAACAGATCTTTGACGAATATGATCAGGAGCGATTCCAGGAGAACATGTAAGAATGTCATGGGAGTGTGTTTAGGGTAATATTGGGTTAGGCCATATCTAAAGTGAAAAGAGGTTAATAATAATTCGTTCACTTTTTTGTTACTTTTGGTATGCATTGCTCTCTTAAATTATTTAACTAATTTTAAAGTATGGTTACATCACCAATAAATGTCAAACTTGCAGAGTAACTTGAAGAGACTCCATAGATTAAGTGATGTATCTCATAAATTTCATTGAAGAATATTATATTCATCTGTATTAACATGTCGGATATTCTTTCTAAGACTACAGTGGCTTCTTGACTTATAATTGGTTGCTTTATGACCATTGAAAATTAAGAAGGATCCCCCCTCTCAAAAGGTAGTTATGACCCAGATTTGAAATTCCAACACCTTCTCACCCTGCATGATCATAATTTGGGCTCTTGGCAACTGGTCCATATTTATGGCCTTTTACAGTGTCCTGCTGTCATGTGACTATGATTTATAACTTTTTTTTTGCAGGAAACTGGTGTTTACCTCTGGTAAAAGGGCTGACTTGAAAAATGTGGCATTTGCTTGACTGTGGGATTTGCTTTACAATCACTGCAAAGTAGTTGTAAAATTGAATCAGTCACATAAGTGCTTTGACTTATGACTGTCATGACATATGTCAGAAATTCCATGGTCCATTACAGTTGTAAATCGAAGATTACCTGTACTCTCATTATAAATGTGGCAGTCCAATTCTGTATGCATGTTCTTTCAAATATTTCTATGTATAAAGAGCAAGTTGACAGACCTGCTTTTCCTCATGTGCTTGTTTTCTATGTAGATCTTTCCACTGCAGACTGAAGTGAAGATTTCAGGAATTCAGGAAGATCTTGATCTCATGACTTGGCTGAATACATGTTCATCCTTTCAAATTTCCTAACTGTGAATCTTGTTCATTTGCTTTCAGGATCTCACTAGTTCCATCAAAATATTCCATGACAGTGATGATCTTGGTCATGATGCTCAGTTTCTACTATTTCTCACGCCATGTGAGTAGTTTGCTAAAATACTTATTTTAGGCAGTTGGTACTTTGGAAGCTCAGTTTGCCATCAAATTCTCTTAAGGTAACTGTATTTCTGTATTTTTCAGCATGTTATTAATTCAGGGTGCCTTCTCTATCATAGCTTGCCTTTACGTTCCTAAATCTGCAATCTTTCCAGTCAAACTGGAGGACAACTCAAATGGCAAAGATGTCTTTGTTCCTATAAACTGACTAGTCAACTTGTTTTTGAAACCGTTCTGGATTCCACTGCTTCAGGGCAAAAAATACAACCCACATAAAAAGTGTTTCTGTTCTTGCTTAGAACATATATTTCTGTACATACAGTATGTACTTTTTTCCCCATCAGATAATAAGATTCATTCAGAATGATTCAACTTGGTAATGGCATAGGTTTTTAGTATCACTGAGGAATAAAAGACAACATCAAATTTGAAGGTGGGATTTTGGACTTCGTTATCAGAATGACATTTCTCCCCTCTTCCTCCCCCGCTGCAGGTAGAAAAGTTGGCTAGGGTTTTATTCTTATGGAAGATTGATGTTCATAACCAGAAGGAGCGTGTGTATGAGATGCGGCGGTGGAATGAGGCTCTTGTCACCAACATGCTGCCAGAGCATGTGGCACGCCATTTTCTTGGCTCCAAGAAACGAGATGAGGTACATATTGGTAAACAAGAAGTTCATGGGCAAAATAGTATGCAAGTAGGATTTTTTTTCTTTGCTTGTTAAGGGCAGATAGTCAGAAATGAGAATTAAATCAAGCCTGTGTTGGCAACTCGCTATATCCCAGAGTGTAGATTATATAATTACCAAGACTGGAGACAACCAGTATGTTAATCACACCGTTAAAATAATTTTCTTCCAGGGAGGCATACAATTGGCACATTGACCAAAGGTGATAAAGGCACTGCTAGCTGTTGCCACCTTCAGGGGAATGCAGTACTAAAAAATAGAAGACAATGTAGAAATTAAGATATGAGATTGAGTATATAATATTACATTGCACAATTGAATACATGAAAGCAATTATGCCTGAATACAGAAGTACCTTTTATCTATTTATTTTAATTTCCTCTCCTCTTTCTTTTTGTGTAGGAGCTGTATAGTCAGTCTTATGATGAAATTGGTGTTATGTTTGCCTCTATCCCCAACTTTGCCGACTTCTATACAGAGGAAAGTATAAATAATGGTGGGATTGAGTGCCTTCGCTTCCTCAATGAAATAATCTCAGATTTTGATGCGGTGAGTCATCTTTAATCAATAGCTAAAATAACCTCTTGATCAGTTGGCCCAAAGAAAATCAATTACTTATTCTAAGAGTTGTCCTTGAAGAGATATGCTTCTTGTGTTAGGAACTATGAGTTTTGTCACATAGCAGTATTGAAATCTCTTATTTTATCTAAACTACCTTGTATTGATTGTCATGAATTGGTAACATTTGAGATTTTCATTATACAACTCTGTTTATCAATATATATCTTGCCTTTGGTGGTAGTGTGAAGGAAAAAAAATTATGTGCCAAACACTTTCTCTAAACCAATTTACAGGTGATCCACAAAAGTAAAACCATGTTGAAGAACAACTTTGTAATTAAACTATCAGCTTGTTTTAGCACCAGTACCATTTTCAGGAATTCCTCACGTCCTCAAACCTCAAGACAATTTCATTATCCAAAGCAAGAGAGGCACAGGTTCAAAACACTGATAGTGTTAAGTGTCTCATGATACAGATAATTGCAGTTCCTAAACCAATCACTTGCCATATTTACCGTATTTCCACCCATATAACCCGCCCACGCAAATAACCCGCCCACGCATATAACCCGCGGG